AGTTATAGTAACGTGCATTTTATTGTCAGTAACGGTAACGGCGTTGTAACGGGGGAAACAGTAATTCGTTTGATTACTTGTTACTGAAAAAAGTATCGACGTTAGTAATGCCATTTATTTATAGTGCCGTTATTCCCATCACTGGACACCACCTAGAATATTGTGTGCAGGTTTGGTCACCATACCCTAAAAAGGACATTGCTGCCTTGGAAAGGGTGCAACGTAGGGCTACAAGAATGATTCCTGGTCTTAGAAGAGAGGAAGAGAGGTTAGCAGAGCTGTATTTGTTTAGCCTCGAGCAAAGGAGACTAAGGGGGGACATGATCCAGATATATAAGATTCTAACAGGTCTGGATGCTGTTCAACCAAATAGTTACTTCAATATTAGTTCAAATACTAGAACTCGTGGCTATAGATGGAAATTAGCAGAAGAACATTTAAAAGCTATTAGTTAAGTTCTCCCCAAATGAGCTTGATGGGACGAATGGCTTCCTCTCGTTTGTAAATGTCTTATGTTCTTATAACCAACATGCAACAATTTTTGGTTCCCAAATCAAAGCTTAGTTTGAGGTCCAAATTTGCCTTTAATATGCCAGTAGATAAGCTGATGTTTATTTGAAGTTTATGTTTTGTTAGCAGGCATTTCTATCCAAAACACCTTACAGGAATCACATAATAATAATAATAATAATAATAATAATAATAATAATAACAATAATAAAGATAACTGCAAGCAGTGACAATCGGGTCCAAAGCTAATGGACAGAAGCAATGAAGAGGAATGAAATGAATGGCATAAAATTAGAAGTTCACTAAATATTGGAAATGAAGTACAGATTGTAATTGATGAGCAATGCATTTAAATAGTCAGAAAATAGGAAATGCTACTATGAGATGATAGCTAACATTTGATCATTTCTATAGAAATGTTTATCAAGGTACGATAAAGGGAAAAAGGTAGATGAGAAACAGAAGGGAAATGTGGTGACTAGCTGTTGGAGAAATATTGCAATTGCTGCAGTGTACACAGGCTGAAGTAACATTGAAGTTTGATAGATTTCTAAAAATTAAATGGCAGAAATATATAAGCAGATTAAAAATATGGACTTAGATGAAGGGAAAGGTGATTAATTTTTAAATGTTTAAATAAACAATAAGGAGATGTCAGCTGCATTAACCAAGGTTGGTCTTAGACATATTAGGACAGTGGCTAAATTGGAAATGAAGTACAGACTGTAACTGATAGCCAATGCATTTAAATAGTCAGAAAATAGGAAATGCTACTATGAACATGCAGCTTTCTGGTTTTACTCTCTTTTCCAGTGCCTTATCTTCATATCAGTGACACCATACTCACCACATCAAGTTTCCCTGCGCCAATTTTTTCGACAACCAAAGCGTTCTCTAAAGAACTCAGAGACTGCACACAGACAGTATGAACTACAAACAGATACCTGAAGTGAAATGCACCAGAAATCATCTCCACACACACTATAGTCTGACAGCAAAGGTACTTTGAGTAAAATGTGCTGTTGCTTGTGGATATTTCTTGCTGTGATGTCTCACAATTTTTTTTGTAGTATTTATTTAGTTATTTTCAGTTTTACTCTGCAATAACAAAACATTAATGATGTGTTGTAACAGTTCTGTACTACATAATATGTTATGTAATTTACAGTCATGATGCCATGGTTAAATTGATGTCAAAATAACGATCCAGCTTTGTTTGTGATGCCTGTGTTGACTTACACTAAATTGTATATTCAAAAGAAGATTGCCATGTTGGGAGTTTTGTAGTATATATATATATCAGTGCTACTATCACACTTTGTAGTCTTTATACACTGTTTATGTAAGAATGGTATGCACATCATATGCAAAATATTATGTCAATTGTGCTAGCTCAATTATTGTGGCCTCAATCTACTTTTTCAGCCTCCTCAAACAATGACACAAACCTAAATGTTTGGCTAAGACAAATGTAGGTAATAACAATTTTACAATGTGTATAATGTGTTTTCTATTATGTCTCTAATGAATAATAATAAATATTATAATCATTAATACAGTCATCATTCTTAAGCATGTTAAATATACATGTAAATGTCAGAATAAATTTCAATTACGGTAGGTGAAACAGGCAGTAAAGGAAATATACATACAAAAAGTATTACAATGTCCTAAGCAACATTTAAGGAAAAACATACTACACTATAATGACATTATATAGTAAATGGCCATAATGTATAACATTAGCCTGCTGTATGCATGCAGTCCCTGGTGTGGCAGTTTGACTAC